GTACTTCTTATATTTCTTTTAAGTAACAAATTTGCCTAGCATTGTTCCTTATTATTGCTAAATTTTCGTACATGTGTTAAGGCCGGATTGTGACGATGCACCTATGAGGAAGCTGATGACGCAGCTGCACAGCTTGCTCACCGAGCTGCAAAACAATAAGGCGATCACCAGGTCGATGTACTCAAAACACTGGGGGCTGACACCAGCATCGTGATTCACCCAACAGACAAAGGACGTTCTGCAGTTGTGTTGGATGAAAATGACTACATTCAGAGGGTCAGCGCCCCGCTGGAGGACCGGCAAGCATACCTCCCATGACGATACACTGATGAGGAAGCTGATGACGCAACAGGGCCAAATGCTCACCGAAAAGCAAAGTAACAAGACAATCACCAGGTCAGTGCGACTGGCCATCACGCCAACAGACGTTCCCGTAGCAGGGTTCTACCGGCTACCAAAGGTACACAAAGCCTAGATTCCATGGAGCACCAACATTCAAGCGGGCTATATGGTTATTAAGCAATCTGAAGCCACTGACGTCGAACGCAGCTAGGACGGTCTGCTCAGCTATCCAATTCCTTGAGCGGCTTGAGGGAGTGCAATCCACCGAAGAAGAGGTCATGGTATCATTCGACGTCACCTCTCTCTTTGCCTCGATCCCACAAGACCTGGCAGTCGACACGTTCAACGAGCGGCTGAAGAGCCAGTACGATGAAACGGGCGAGACGGGGAAATGGAGACCTCTCGTCCAGCTCTTAAAATTCTGCCGCTGTGATCAACTGTATTTTCAGGGGATGTCCTTTGAGGTTGGTTTTCGCCATGTCAGTTTGGGGCTACAAGCGGATGCTGGGATGAAAAGGGATGATTTTATGTTTATGGACAGGCAGTTGATGACAGCTGCACGTGTGCGAACATAAGCCCCGAATAGAGGCCCCTAGGCTGGACTTAATCCGGCACCTTCCTCCCCTCAACCTACCAAGTGGCACAATGATTGAGGATCCCTCTCTGTCCCGGCTCCCCCTAATTTGCCTCGGTAATCCTGTATTAACTGTGAATGTCATCACTTCTGAATACCGTGAGGCGTGATGCCACTCTAACCTCTGACGATGGAAACTTGGCTACTTTTGAAGCGTCGGGTAAATACAACTATGGTTCCCGAGATCGCCTCTTCTTTTCCTTTATGTCTGGGGACGTGGCTCGAATCCGCGACCTTGGTAGTTAGAAGTGCAACGCTGTAATCATTGCGCCACGGGCTCATTGCCTCGCCAGTTTCGTTCGGAATATATGCAATGGTAGATGGGTCATTGCCGATCGGTTACAGGACTCACTCGTTCCGTTTTGTCTTGAGGCTTGCTATAGAGTTCCGCCAACAGACGCTTAACGACTAACGTATATTATAGGCAGAAATGCATTACTGATGGGCCAGGTTAATGGCCATTATTCCTGTGTAACCACGTGCAATTCTACTTATTAGCAGCATACTGTGGACCCATTGTTGCAATAGGATACCAAATATGCTCTCATTAAAGTGTTCGGACCGCCCGAGAGCGTTAAGTAAGCTAGTAATGACAGTTTATATTCCACTTGTTTTCGTAGTTAGCACTACTCCCTTATTTGATGTCCGTCCCTATGACACTGCTAACGAGAGTATTAAACTTGTACATTCGCACAAACTGGAACGCTTGCGCCCGTTATTAAGTTGATTTAATAGGTGACTGGCAGGTACACTAATATAATTCAGAAAGTATGATGCTTTACAGCAGTTACTTGCCACTTTCCACCCAAGGACGCTCGCTCTATTGGGGCAGCAACATTTGGTGCTGGGAAATTGGTCATTGTACCTAGTTCTAAAGCACTATTCCCAATCTTTTAAATCAAATTTTGTCATCAGTTGTAATTTTTCTACCTATACGAAAATTGTCAAGTCGGGCATTAGGGCTCATAAGTAAGAAAAGTCTTCCCTATGGCCGCGATCCCAGTTGGTTCGGCGTATACAAACTAACTGAAGTCTTTATAGCCCCAGCCAATCCGTGGATGATCTAGATCACATGAGCGAGGGAGGACATACAACCTTCGTTTAGACTATAATGACTCACACGTATGCGGTTCAGAAGATTGTAGTGTGAAAAGGGAGCGGAGGATGTCCAGTTGCCCCTTCCTCTTGTAGCACCATCATATCGCGGCTTTCTACTCGTTTGCCAGGGTAGACTCAGAACTCACAGACCAGAATGCTCGTAAAATAGCCATTATTAGCACCACGAAACGGCATTATTAAGATTTCGAGTCAGCTGGTTTGCAATCAGAAAACCATACACTGAAGTCGAATCGCAAAATTCCGGGGAGGGATGCCCCTAACAGTGGTGAAGGCATGTACGTGCTCTTCTGCAGCGGACAATAGCGCTGAATTAACAGTAGCCAGGCCAATGTTAACGGCACTGGCCTGAGAGTAGTCTAAACGGCAAAACAATCCCCGAAACAGCTGATTAATTTTATTGGCAACAGTTTGTTCCGCGGAGGTGTTGACCACTTGCGGAAACCTAAAAACCTCATGAATTACGTAGCCAATGCCACCCTCTATATCACGCACTCCTGGCCGAGTGGTAAAACGTCCTCAGATGGACTATAAAGTTCAACTGCTGCCTTAACCGTTCAGGAAACCTCAAAAAAGCTTTGGTAACAGGTCATTTGTCGTATCCTAAAAATGACTTTAACCTGGTTACTTATAATGTTTCAGTAACACATACATTCATCAATTTCCAGTGAACTGGAGAAGCATATGAGGGACAGCATGGTAAATTCTGCCACGCTGCTCTACTTAAACGACATAATATTGCGAGATTGGAATCTAAAAGGCGGGGAAATTGGTCGGCTTCTTCGAGTTTCATCCAAGAGGAAAGTAATGAACCACAAAAAGAAGGACCGTTGCTATATCTAAGATCTAAACACGACACGCACAATCTTTCCCAAAAGTTAAATTACAGTTCTGTAGGCCATATTTAAACTAAAAAAGTCAATGAGGGTAGTACGGTACGCTTTAATGCCATTCATAGCATAGATAGGCTCACTCATGAATGACAGATACCACAAGTAAACTCACTTCAAGTAAAGCTTAGGACTACGCTAATAGGATTCCCATGTACAGTAGTCATTCCTCTTGAAAGTGCCGTCGCGAAGTCGTGTCAGAAACCAAATTTCCAAAAGAAGCGGGTGTATTTTTTTCAATCCAGTAGTTTTCATAACGGTCTATGGGACGCAAAAACTAACTCTAGAAGGCAGGGATCAGTAAGAAGGTGAACGTTCAATTGACCCCACTCCCCCAAATTGCATAGCGTTCACGATAAGGAACGTGGCTGAACTACGTCACACGTGGTTAGGCGTGGTGACACCCCGTCCTGGCAACAATGTTTTCCAACCTCAGTATGGTTATTATTTCGTGATTACTCAGGTAAATTTACGAACAGCGAGCCGACCATGTTGTTCACTAGTTTAGCTCCTGTGGCCAACTAACCGCTCTAATATATCAGTCGGTCAGTGGTCCGGAAGAAATCTGCGGTTGGTATCCTATCTAAGGCGTCGCGGTACTTCAGCCGGGTTACAATGCATACAAAGTCGGCTGTCCAGCTGCTTAGCAATCTCCTCACCGTACGCATAAACAGATATGGCCTCACTTGAATCCGCAGCTAACGTGTCTGCCAGGTTAGCTCTACCAGACCTGGTTGGCAGTTAATCCTCTAACGCCTGGGTCGGCAACCTATGGCTCGCGAGCCAGGTGCGGCTCTTTTGATGATGGTCTCTGCCTCTCTCAGATAAAATTGGAATAAGAAACTCCCGATCTTATGCTTTTGGTTCCTCCAATAACGTGCCACCGTCGAGACGCGTATTAGAATCGATTTAATCTCGACCAAACACTGGCGTTTCAGCCCCCTAGGTTTGATCTAGCAGTTGTTTCAGCGTTCCCTTTCCGGCTAGCCGAGAGCAGCTGCAACCTTTTTGCGTCTCAACGGCCGCGACAAGCTTGCTAAATAACAGACGGTCTTCTCCCCCCCAGACTTGACCTCAACTTAGTCAAGGTCACGCTGGCAGACAAGGCTATCTCACGCGCGTAGGCCAGTCTGCCTTGTCACCTCTAGTCCCTTGCGTTTATGTCCCTCAGACGGACGCGTTTATCACACGCAAGCAAACAGTCCGTTCGCGGAAACTTGCCTTGTGTACTAATAAACCGCTCCTAACATCTGACTGCTTTCTTTCATCAGACGAAACACTCTTAGTGTAGTGGTTATAGTAGATCGCACATCCTTGACCGCTACACAATCTCGCTCTCATTTGCCAAAGTTAACCCCTGCAAAAAAGAAGATGGCCAAAAGAAAAAAAGATGAGACGATGTGATGCATGTGAGCAGTCATTTTCACATCTTAAATACATCAAGTCCACCCTACGATCACGTCTAACGGATAAGAGCCCCAACGCTTGCATGAAGTTTAACCTCACCAACTACCAACCAGAATACAAAGCCATCAACGAATGCATGCAGCACCAGAAGTCGCATTACCAATTAGTATTATAAGAATATTATTAAAAAGAATAAATCCAGAGGCTTATTATACTCACATCTAATTGGATTTAATCTTGAAATATATTATATGGCTCCCACTGAAATATATTTGCAAATATTTTCTTTCTTGGCTCTCCGAGTCAAAAAGGTTGCCGACCCCTGCTCTAACAGGAGTGTCTGACCCACAGGGACAGGGGGTGATCCATGTCCTCGTGAGCCGACAAACATGCAGACAAAGCGGGTGTAGTACGTCCTGAAACCTAGTCCTGCCCATAATAGGTCTCTGTAGCCTCCGATGCCCTATCTACGAGCCTAATAGAAGCTGAGAAAAGATGCATAAACTCTTTCATTTTGAATAGCAGAAGCCCTAAGCAAGAAAGGAGATGAATAAAATAAACGATAAAATCTGAAGAAAGCATTTGGCAGATGGGGATAGGGGGTGGAGGTGTCAGTGCTCACATATAGGCACCTTGTTCATTGAACGAGCCAGATCAAACTGACAAACATCGTCCAGACTGCCCCCGACCCGCTCACCAAAGTAGTCAAATATGTACAAATCCTGCATTTGGACAGCAACCGAGGACAGTACAGAGTCTAAGACCTGGTTACATTGGGCAAGGTTGAGGATGCGCAGGTGCGGTTGACTGGTGGGAAGGTTAATGAAAGACTCTCCAATAATCACATGATTTCCCACAAGGCTGAGATGGTGCAAGCGGTGGCAGGTCTCGAGGATGCACATAAGGCCGACGTCTGTAACACTCCAACACCAATTGAGAAAGAGGGCAACTAGCAGCGGTCCACAGCACTCACAAACGGCCTTTACGACTGCATCATTAACAGCGGGACAGTCAGTCAGGTCCAGATGCCTCAGATAATGCAGTTGGGATTGTCGAGCGGGAGAGAAGGCATCACAGAGGGCTTGGCTGGTAAACAGACGTCCTTTGCGCAAAGCCAGCTCCACCAAACTAGTCAAGCAGGCAATGTGAGGCAGACAGGAATCGTCAATACACTCTGCAAAGCTGATGGACAAGATCTGCAGACCGCTATCACGAAGTAACTGAAGGAACTTGGGGTTGTCGGGGATACGGTGTGATGAGACCGGTGGGGGAAGACCCAGATGGGAAGCAATCTTGGAAATATGGATATCCAGTAGACGGGAAAGAAAGTTGGAGAAACCGGCTGCGCTGAGCTCGAAGCCATCTAGCCAAATACAGCATAGAGCACCATCCTTGATGGCTCTTCCCTCTAGAAGAGCTTCAAGGGCCTCATCTGTGATCCACTGAATTCCATCCAAATTGAGACGTCGTAGTAAAGGAAGGCCTCGGGTGATGGCTTCCACTCCCTCGTTGCCGACATTGGTGCAGTGCGACAGATTAAGGGCCTCGAGGCGTTTGCAACGCGATACGAGTATCCTAAGAAAGCCGCTCTGAGGAGAAAAACATGCACAGATACTTTAGTCGCGTTAAGAACAGCAACATTTTGTGCTCTATTGGACGGAGAAAAAACGGAACCTTTGTAACAGTTTTGCCTTTAAAACTAATGAAAAGGAGCTAGTAATTGTCATCTTTTTCGAGCGCACAAGACTATATCGCCTGGTAACGTAAATACTCCGAGTTTCTACTTGAAAATATAATATTTTCGATTTTAAATATCACCAGTATCACAATACGTTTTCCAAGTTAGTTAATAATAGGGAGATTTAGAGTGCATTTTGACGAAATAAAATTCTGTTACAGGTTTACGAGGCAAAACTGTGATTTTAAGCAGTGGTACTTTTTTCCCCCAACCGTTTGATGCGAAGTGACACTATTTTCACGCTCGTGGCGGCATTGGTTGATTGGATAGCCTTCCGGTCAGACGATTCCAGCGCTTACACAACTCCAAATCCTTGTTACAGAATGAGTCCTGTTTTTGTTTTGTGTGACTATTCAGCAAAAACTGGCGATAATCAGAACAAACAGCTACTCAATGCTCAAATGGTGTATCAGCCCATCTGTTGGATCTACCGCCTACTTCTTCACATCTGTTTAATTTATTGAACACGATTCTTGTGGCCGCTGTTTGTCAAATAGTTCAGGGTAGTTGCTTTACCGTGAAAACAGTCAATCTATTTAAAAGCTAACATAAAAGCAACAATAAAATTTATTGACCGGGTATGAAGCCTTTTCTCTTTTTAATGATTCGCTGACTTCATAAGGCAAGTAAATAATGAATTTGCGACGGGATGTGCGTGATATCTTCCTAATACATACTTTGAAATGTTCGGTCGACCGGGGAACAAAATATGCGTCTTTGATGTTAAACCAGATATTCCCGCATCCCAATGGCGGACAGCACTGTTGTTTATGCTAATGACCTCCTGTTTGACACACATCCCATCGCCTGCCCCGTGACTACCAAAGGCTCCCCCAGCTAACTCTCTATTGGACGTGATCACTTCGGTGCCCATGCAAAGGATATCGAAGCAACTTGCATCAGTGGTCCACGGACCCTGTTGTGATACAACCTAATCAAACAAAAACCTACGCATTATTCTACATCACCGGCCTCCGGTATGTACAGTTCTGTGACTAAATCGGAAGGCCAGAATAGCATTAGAATGCAAAATTCTGTCAGGGTGTTGCGAGTTTTTGATAAATGGGAACCTTATATAGTTCTGTCCTTCTTTTTCAATGTTGCCGACGACAATACTTCCACAGGGATCTAAGTACTTATTTTTCTGTGTTGTTATCCACCTACCCTATCCACCTACTTTGTGCCTTTATAAGCTTGTCAACGTTTATGCGGCCTTACTGGGAGCGTCAAGCAAATGCCCAAAAAAATATTTTACAAAGATGTCGACTCTAGTTGGTTTCCAACCGGCCACCTCAGTTTTATGCGCAGTTCACAAATGGTAGTTGAAAGAGTATAATGGAGCCTCAGGTGACGAGCAGCCCCATCTATGAGCCTTTCAGGTAACGAGCAAGTCAATCGCAGAAAATTTGTTTCGATGGGCCAGCTTCCGTTCAGTTAACGAGTTGTCAGTGGATGTGTGTTTGTCTGTGTCCGCCGTTGAGTCTTGCTCGTAGGGCGTGGGTCGTCAGTCGCCTGCAGCCAATCAGTGAACTGATGCAAAAGGATGTATTCGAAACTAAAATTCCTCCAAGACAACTCTGGTGCCTCAGTTCGTTCAGCCTCCCAATTCCTGGCAGACCTCCATGGCCGGAGGATTTAAGCGGACGAAATGCTGGTTTCCTTTGACGTGACATCATTATTCACATCTATTCCGCCGGATTTGGCACGAGACGTCCTACGCAGGAAAATTGACGAGCTGTACGACGAAACTCAGAGTTCGATCAAGATTGAACACCTCATGAGGCTGTTCGAATTCTGCCAAAAGACATACTTCACCT